TGTAGCCATCTCTTCTACTCCAGTAGCTTCATATCTCGCACCTCCCATCTGTGGAATTCCCTTCCTATTACTTGTTTCCCTGATAGCTATAATCTACAACTATTCAAATGTAATGTCAATCGACATTTCCAGATGTCTTGATCTATTCCCTTGTCCTCCTCTTCATCCTTTCCTCCATCACGCCTCTTTACTCTCGCTCCCACTTTCTGTAAACCCTTGCGTACTAGTGGCATCCCGCCTTGGTTAGGGTGAAATGTTTAAAAAATAAATAAATAAATAAATAATACTACTATTATTACTATTTTGACTTACCGACGATTCCAACAATATTATTTTTTCAGTGGAGTGTTATCACATAATAGTGAAGGTAAAGAAACAAAAAAAACAAACAAAAAAAAAACAAGAAAAAAACTGATGAAGATGTTACCGAGATCTTTTCCCAGAAGCCATCTCCCCACCTGTGGGCAATCAGTCGGTCAGACAGTTAGACAGACAAGTTTATTGCCCCCATACACGTACACACACACACACACACACACACACACACACACACATACACACGTACACACACAGACATACACAAACACGTCAGTTCGTGTGTAAATTTAATACGCACTTTTGCGTAAAATGCATGGCAGGCCGCCCGATTTTGTCCGAAACAACGCAGAGGTGATGCAATACTTTAGAAAGTTTATCCCCACCTTAAAATAATCTATATATATATAATTGGAAAGAGTCTGTCTGTTCGCTATACACGTCCATTTCATAGAGAACCCTCAAATTTGGAGTGTATACATTAGAGCTTATATATATATATATATATATATATATATGCATAAATTTTTATATGTCAACTTATATAGGTTTAATACTACCCGTCAAAAGTGTAAATTTTAAATTCATTTTTCGTTTCACCTTTGAAAGTGAAGTCTGAAGATCCAGAGAAAAATAAAATTCTCTGGTGAAACGAATTACTACAAATGGAGCCTTAAAGTGGTCTGTTTTTCTTTAAATTAAATTATTCGCTCTGACTTAACATTGAGCTCTCAGGATTTCATCCTCCTTGGGATTATCCATACGGATTACCAAGATTTTCGTTACTTAAATATATATATATATATATATAATGAAAAATCCTCAAATTACTATTTAGTTATATATATATATATATATATATATATATATATATATATATATATATATATATATATATATATGTGTGTGTGTGTGTGTGTGTGTGTATGTAAACAGCTGTTGGTCAGAGTTAAATCAGACCAGGGTACGGTAGGGTATTTAAAAATGTTCGATACACAATGCCAAAAATCGAATGTGCAGAGTCTTTGAATATTTAAAAAAAAAAAAAAATAAAAAGTTAAGCCACTTACACTACCATAGTTTCAACCATTTAGGTCTCGTCAGGCGATAGAAGCTAAATAATTTCCTCCCACTTTATCTGCTTATTTTATCTGCGCACAACAGGAAGTGCCACAGAAGGGGAGGGGTGAGATAAGAGTGGGGAAAATAGAATGGGATGAAGCATGAACCAAAAAAAAAAAAAATTATACTTACTTTTATCCTAGTTCGTATAAATCCAAAATATACTTTATAGTGTGTCCAGACTCCGACATGACTTCAAACGTTTTTGGTCTGGATACGTGCTAATTTTTCGTTCTGGCACAGCCTGCAGACATCACTGTCATTGCTGTAAGACCTGGCTTTCCTCAATATGATCCAGCTTGCATTAAGTGTTTTGTTATTATCTTTCTTTAATTCCCACACATGGCTAACAAGTGTGGTACAATTCCTACGGCATCCTATTCTGAACAATGACTTGTGGTTGTACCATCTTTTTTTGAAAGTGCCTTCAGTTCACCCCACATATATCTTGCTCTGGCCATTTGCATTATTTCCTTCCGCTCTGTATACCGCGACTTACGATTTACCTGTGTGGGAATTGAAGGAAAATAATAAGAACAGCCCTAATATAAGATGGAGCATATTGAATAGAGTCAGGCCTTACAGTAATGATCGTAATGTTTGCAGGCTGTACCAGAAATCTCGAAACGGCATAATGTACTGCTTAGCATTCGTGTTGGAATACGAACTTTTAGGAGTGTTTGGGTGTCAATCTAAGAACAGCGCAGAGGATTCTGAAAAAGTTGGATGAGTCTTATGGTGATTACGAAGGGAAGGCAGCTCGGAAAACTCACTTTGATTGTTCTGATGAGAAAAGAACTCTCGAATTTGTTGGTGATGGCCTCCGACTCAACACGGAGACCTACATCAAGTGCCTTGAGGAGGTAGCGCTACCTTGGTTCAAAAGAGTGGCTGCTGGAAGACTCTATGTCTGTCAACAGGATTCTGCACCATGCTACACAAGCAGAAGAAGCCAGTCATGGCTGTCAGACAATTTCTGCGATCACATCACTCCTTACAACTGGCCACCTAACTCCCCAGAATACAACCCCCTTGATTATTGTGTGCGGGGCACAGTTGAGTGAGAGACCAGCAAAATTCCATGTAACACCAAAAATGAACTGAAGGCAAGGATCCTTCGGTTCTTTCGTTGATGAATTTCATCTTAACATCAAGAAATTGATCAGATCTGCCTTTATTGTTTTTTTAGTTTTTCATTTTTTTTTTAGGAGTGGGGGACTACTTTTTTAATTGATATTGTTCATTCGCTTAGGAGGATATGAGTGTTGTTAATCTAAAAGGCGTAAGGATATTCAGTCGTATGTTACTGTAAAAGACCTTCACCATATATGGTTAGGAACTATTTTTCTTTCTTTTTTTTAGCAATTGGACCAAAAGAATGAAAAAGAAAAAAACTTAGACGTCTCAAATTTGTTCAAAGCTTGTCTTCACTTTACCTCCATTGTTCTTATGAGGCGACAGAATTAAAACTATATTTATATAATTTTATATTTATTTTTATCTGTAAAGGCTCGAAATGGTGAGGAATGAATGACAAAGTAAAAGCTATCAATGCTTGAAATCATTTTATGGAAAAGACATTAAAAGCTCAATGTCAAATAGACAAATGTTAACAGGTAACAAAAAAGACTACGCTGCCTTCTTTGATGAATTTCATCTTAATATCAAGAAATAGATCAGATCAACCTTTATTGTTTTTTAGTTTTTCATTTTTTTTGAGGAGTGGGGGACTTTTTTTTTTAATTTATATTGTCCATTCGGATGAAAGGATATGAGTGTATATATGAGGATATATATATATATATATATATATTTGTTTGTCAGTTATGTGTCATGCGTGATACACGCTTAGGCGATTATATATCTTTCAATAGATGACTGATGAGGCAGATTTTTTCCCGCAGTAGGATGCCATTTCTTCCTGTGGTAGACCAGTTACCATCGATAGAATCCGGTCTGTCCCGCTATTTATCCATAGTTGGGGGGAGAAGAAAAGCATTCATACTATTATCAAATATTATTAGCACGTATTAGCAGGTAAGTGAATGTAATGGATTTGACTGGAATTCGAACTCGGCTCCCCGATTCCTCAATCCGAGCCGCTATCTATTACCCTACTACTGGTCATGAAAGGGGTCTTACTCGGGTATTTTACTCAAAGGTCTGCCTTTATTGTTTTTTTTTTAGGACTACTTTTTTAATTAATATTTTCCATTCGCTTGAGAGGATATGAGTGTTCATAATCTCAAAGGGGTAAGGATATTTTTCAAGGCCAAACAAATTTCATGATACACACCTAAAATAGATTCATATTACTGCACACCACTGCAAATGACCTAATCTGAGATAAGAATAGAAATCGATTACACCTTGTCACTCCAGTGGGTCTAAAACTGACTGTATGATGAAAGAAAGGAAACAAAAGCGGTTGTTTCAATTAATTTGCACACATATATATATATATATATATATATATATATATATATATATATATATATATATATATATATATTAATGTAATTATTATTTACCATTTTATTTTAATTTGATAAAATATTTGTGCATTTTTATTTTTGATTTTTTTAAGCGTTTCACCCCAAGCAAGGTGGGAAGCCACTAGGACGCAAGGGGTTACAGAAGATTTGGAGCAAGATCAGATAGGAGTGATAGAGGAAAGGATGAGGAGAAGGATAGTGGATAGATCAAGGCAACTAGAAATGTAGATTGACATTACATTTGAATAGTTGGAGATTATAGCTCTCAGGGAAACTCAAATAGGGAAGGGAGTTCCACAGGCGAGAGGTGCGAGACATGAAGCTATTGGAGTAGAAGAGACGGCTACATTTAGGAGTTTCAACAGTGAAAGAGTGAGAGCGTGATGCTAGCCTCGTAGGGCGCTTGAATTCATGAAGTCTGGGAACCAGCGAATGCAGCTCATCGGAGCAATTACCATGAAAGTACTTGCAAAAAAGACAGAGAGAGGCGACGGCGCGTCTGTGAGAGAGCGACTGTAGACAAGATGCCAGAACAGGGCCAGTTATATTGCATATCCGTCTCTGGATCTTATCAAGAACCCCGAGGCAAACAGAAGGGGCTTCAGACCATATATGGCAGCAATACTCCATGCAAGGGTGAATTGTTGATTTGTAGATCTGAAGGATCGATTTCGGGGAGAAAAATTTCCTGGCGCGGCACAGGGAGCCAACTTTCCTTGCGGTGGACGAGGCAATTGACTCAATGTATTTGTTCCATCTCAGGTCAGCAGTCAACGTGAGACCGAGCAGCCGCAGAGAGGTGCTCTCGAGAAGTTGAGCGTCAGACATTCTAATGGAGGGCAGGGAAGGATCTCTGTGGTGATTAATAGAGAGCAGTTTTGCTTTTGAGGCATTAAGTTTGACCAGTTTATTTATAATTATAAATATAATGATTCCCCACGTAACGAAGGGACCCGGTACAAAGAAGAAGTTTTCGGCTGAATATAACGAACCTGATTTGAATTTGAACTTGGCTCTTCGATTTTCATTTGTCAGCCATTATCTAACTACACGAAGCACATATCCAAGCTTACAGCATCCGGTATTCCCAAGTGGTCACCCACCTAAGTACTGATCGGGCTCGACGTTGCTTAATTTCAGTGATCTGCCGAGAACCTGTGTCTGAACGTGATATGGCCGTTAGCATATCAGGAGGAAGCAGGGCTTGGAAAATTTGAAACGCACAAGACATATTGAAGATAGTAAGAACAGAAGAAAATCTACATAAGGAGCTTGTATAAATTGATGGTAGAACAAGGACAGGGAAGCATAGAAATAGGGCAAACATTACTTAGAGCTACAAAGGATAGGAAGTTGTGGAGAGCCGTGATCAACATAACGTGCTTTTATAAATTGATGGTATAACAGGGACTGGGAAGCATAGAAACGGGACAAACATTACTTAGAGCTACAAAGGATAGGAAGTTGTGGAGAGCCGTGATCAACATAACGTGCTTTTATAAATTGATGGTATAACAGGGACTGGGAAGCATAGAAACGGGACAAACATTACTTAGAGCTACAAAGGATAGGAAGTTGTGGAGAGCCGTGATCAACATAACGTGCTTTTATAAATTGATGGTATAACAGGGACTGCGAAGCATAGAAACGGGACAAACATTACTTAGAGCTACAAAGGATAGGAAGTTGTGGAGAGCCGTGATCAATATAACGAGCTTTTATAAATTGATGGTATAACAGGGACTGGGAAGCATAGAAACGGGAAAAACATTACTTAGAGCTACAAAGGATAGGAAGTTTGGAGAGCCGTGATCAACATAACGAGCTTTTATAAATTGATGGTATAACAGGAACTGGGAAGCATAGAAATGGGACAAACTTTGCTTAGAGCTACAAAGGATGACGTTGTGGAGAGCCATGATCAACATAGTTAACGAACATGTATAACTTGATGGTAGAACAGTGACTGAGTAGCATCGAAATAGGGAAAAAATTACTACAAAAGATAGGAAGTGGTGGAGAGACATGATCAATATAAATTTGTACACATTGATAGTAGAACTGACTGAGAAGCATAGAAATGGGGCAAACATTAATTACAGCTACAAAGTATAGGAAGTTGTGGAGAGCTATGATCAAAAAACTTAAGGAACTTGTATAAATTGACTGTAGACCAAGGACTGGGAAGCATAGAAAGGGAAAGGGAAGTTGTGGAGAGACATGATCAATATACATAACGAGCTTATGTAAATTGATGGTTGAACAGGGACTGGGATTCATAGAAATGGGACAAACATTGCTTTGAGCTACAAAGAATAGGAAGTTGTGGAGAGACATGATCAACATAACGAGCTTGTGTGAATGGATGTCAGAACAAGGACTGGTAGGGCTAGTCAAGGGACAAACATTGCTTAGAGCTACAAAGAATAGGACGTTGTGGAGAGACATGACCAACATAACGAGCTTGTGTGAATGGATGTCAGAACAAGGACTGGTAGGGCTAGTCAAGGGACAAACATTGCTTAGAGCTACAAAGAATAGGACGTTGTGGAGAGACATGACCAACATAACGAGCTTGTGTGAATGGATGTCAGAACAAGGACTGGTAGGGCTAGTCAAAGGACAAACATTGCTTAGAGCTACAAAGAATAGGAAGTTGTGGAGAGACATGACCAACATAACGAGCTTGTGTGAATGGATGTCAGAACAAGGACTGGTAGGGCTAGTCAAGGGACAAACATTGCTTTGAGCTACAAAGAATAGGAAGTTGTGGAGAGACATGATCAACATAACGAGCTTGTGTGACTGGATGTCAGAACAAGGACTGGTAGGGCTAGTCAAGGGACAAACATTGCTTAGAGCTACAAAGAATAGGAAGTTGTGGAGAGACATGACCAACATAACGAGCTTTTGTGAATGGATGTCAGAACAAGGACTGGTAGGGCTAGTCAAGGGACAAACATTGCTTTGAGCTACAAAGAATAGGACGTTGTGGAGAGACATGACCAACATAACGAGCTTGTGTGAATGGATGTCAGAACAAGGACTGGTAGGGCTAGTCAAGGGACAAACATTGCTTAGAGCTACAAAGAATAGGAAGTTGTGGAGAGACATGCCTAACCTACTTATGCTTGTGTAAAAGGGGCGGGGGGCAGAACAGGGACTAGGAGGGATAGTTCTGGACAAACATTGCTTTGTGCTACAAATGAAAGGATGCTGTGGGGGTGCCATTATCAACCCACGTCCTGTAGGGGCACGGCACAACGTAGACGAAGAAGTTTTACGGATTTGAAATGATTTCTACCATTTATAACAGGAATCGTGGATAACAAAGGACGGGCAAAGTGAGACGTGTTAATAACCGTTGAGAAAATGGCGACGGTCGAAATATACGGCGATAAAATGCAACAGTCAAAGCTTAAATTTAACACACTTCTCTTATATTTGGATTTTTTTTTTATTCTGTCTTCAAAATATGCAATTTGCTTTTCGAAAAGCCCGATGGAACAAAAGATATAGTTCTACCCATTCCAAAGATGGCGCTTTTCCGTTTCTAGCATTTATACGGCATTGTTATTCTAGACGAGTTTATATTGTGCGCACGAGTTTGGTAATTTGTTTAACTTTTTTTCACTGACCAGATTGCTGCCCTAACTACTGAGTCATCGCACTGAATGCAGCTTCTTTGGCAGATGATCCGGTAAATAAATCATCTAATATAAAGCAATGAAATAAATAAACAGGCAAGGCGTTTGTTTTTTCAGTCTAAACACAAATCAAGCGGAAGTGTTGACAAATCATTGGAAATTGTCCAACAAGCTGTATGTAAAAAGACTGCTGTACTGACGTAGACATAACAATGGGATGGCATTTATGAGATAACTAAGAGTAATGATTGCAATGATGTCCGATCGTTGATAGCAATGGCCAGACAGGTTCTTCGGTCACTTGACAAAGGGATTTACGATTATATGACTGGTAGCAATGGCCAAATCTAATGTCCGATTCTACGACTGGTTGCCACAGATAAAACGATGTCCAATAACATGAATGGTATACACAAACAAAGTGATGTCCGATCCTATGACTGGTAGCTACAGATAAAATGATGTCCAATGATGGGAATGGTAGCCATGAACAAAGTGATGTCTGTTCCTATGACTGGTAGCCACGGATAAAGTGATGCATGATCATACGAATGGTAGCCTCAAACAAAGTGATGTCCGATCCTATGACCGGTAGCCACAGATAAAACGATGTCCAATGCTGTGAATGGTAGCCATGAACAAAGAGATGTCTGTTCCTATGACTGGTAGCCACGGATAAAGTGATGCAGGATCATGAGAATGGTAGCCACAAACTGTGTTGGTTTTTGAGGGTGTCTTCTTTAAGGGTGATGTCATGCCACCTCACATCGTTGAACATGGTCTCAGGCTCAATTTGGATGGCTGTGTGGTGTTGCTGAATACCGTGGTCAAGCTTTAGTTGGCGAGGCTGGCTGATGGAAGACCACATGTATGGTAGCAAGGTTGATCTCCCTGCCACACCTGCAGGAAGGGACAGAAGTGGCTGTCAGATATTTTTTTCCGATTTCACTAGTCACAACGTCTGACCCGCTAACTTCGCAGATTGTAATCCCATGTGTGGAGCACAGTGAAGAAAGGCACCAACCACACTGCCAACGACACTAAGACCCAGCTGATTGTCAGGATTCAGGAGTCGTTTGGGACTCTCCTTAGGGACACCGTGAAGGCCGCTTGTACCAGATATTGGAGTCGAAACTAGACCCTGATAGGTGATCAGAATGATCTTTTGATTATTATAACCTGCATTCCACTTTTCTATTTGTTCATAGAATTGATTTTTTGGTTTAGATATTCACTTTGTTTACCCTTAAAACCCTGTCAAATTTTAACAGAAAACTCACTATATGCAAGATGTGAATGATTTAAAACTGCTCGTGCTATTAAAAACAAACACACTCACTCAATTTTATTAAATTTGAAATACGGTGTATATATATATATATATATATAATAAAATAGGCAGCATACATTTAATATTACAAAGAGTTAATCATACCTTGAATTGCATTAATATTGCTAATTGATTCAAGGTATGATTAACTCTTTGAAATATATATATATATATCAATCTCAATCGACATCTACAGATGCCTTGATCTATTCCCCGTCCTTCTTTTCATCCGTTGCTCTCTCAAGACTATTTACCCTTGCTCCCACTTTCTTTAGCTCCTTACGTGGTAGTGGCACTCCCGCCTTGCTTGGGGTGAAATGTTTAATATATATATATATATATATATATATATATATATATATATATATATTTCATTAAAGACGACAGACAAAGTACTGCGGTTAAGCTTTTTATTTAATTTTTCTTGTGTTCGAACAAGTGTTTTCTTTTTTGGACACAGAGTGTGTAGAAACTGTCCAAATGTCCTGTAATTCTGAGTGCTGTTGGCTATACTTTTAGCCTTTATCAAAGATGAATTTATTTTTGCTTTTTAATTGGGTGTATGTGTTGTGTGTATGTTTTTAGGGCTATAGGGATGTTTTAATTTCCGAATACAGTTAACACATTGTGGCCGTGTTCGTAGTTAATATTGTTAAGTATTGTTTTGTTTTGTTTTTTATTATTAAGCCATCCATTATTTTATTTTTTTTTTTAACATTTTAGTCATTGGAGACTATCAACACTGGATATTTATATGGAAATATAAAAAGCCATTAACTCGGATACCCGCTACCACTATTTCCCAGATCCCAACACCTATCTACGAGCTATCAAAATTCCTTGACGACATCATAACTCCATACCTATCCACCAATTATAGCATCAAATCCACCCACGAATTCCTCCGAATTGTAAAAACTACTAAACGACACCAAGGAATCGTTGCATCACTTTACGCCGAAAATTTATTTACAAACGTCCCCGTCAATCAGACTATTGACATTATCCTCAATTCTGTGCACACTAATAATTCTATCCCTCCGCGATCCATCAAGCAATTTATACTCAAAAAATTACTACAGCCATGCACAACTATAGACCCATTCTATGACGGTAATAGCAACAATTACACTCAAACGAATGGTGTTACTATGGGAAATCCATTCGGACCAACCTTCTCCAATTATTACATGTCCCATGTAGA